CTGGGGAGTACAACACCATACTAGGAGGGTCCTGGGACATACTGGAAAGGTACTGGTGCATACTGGGGTGGAAGATTCTGTGCCTGTGCTGGGAGGCAGGCAGACGCTCTAGGCCATACTGAGAATGCAGGACACATCCATGCAGCAGAAGTGAGGGGGCCTGGCTGGTGCTGCTGGCAGCCAGAATGGGAGGAGAAATGGGGGGAAAGGGAAAAAATGGGGGAGAACAAGGCAAAAGAGAGGGGGAACTACAGGAAAATGAGGCAATGGGGGAAGAAGTGGGATCAAAATGGCAGAAAATGGGGAAAAACAAAGTGAGAAATGGGGGGGGGTTAAAATGGGGAAAAGAGGAAAATTGGGAAAATGGGGAGATGGAGAAAAAATAGGGGTGAAGATGGGGAAAAATGGAGGGAATGGGTAAATGGAAAAAAGTGAAGAAGAACTGGGGGAAAACAGGAGAATGAGGCACAAAGTAGGGGCAAAAAGAACTGAAAATGGGCAAAAATGGGGTACAAAACAAAGGAAAATTTAAAAAATCGAAACAGGCAAAAAGAGGCACAAATGCGCAAAAAGTGGGGAGAAAACAAGGAGAAAATCAGGGGAAATGGGGGAAAACCAGGGTGAAATGGGGAAGTGGTGCATAAAGAGGCAAAACCCAGTGGGAAACAGGAGAAGTAAACAAAGGGGAAAACTGTGGGAAAGCAGGAAGAAATGCGGGGAAATGGGTCTGGAATGTGGGGGATGGGGAGAAAGAGTAGAAATGGGGCAAAATCAGGAAAAAATGGAAGAACTTGAGAGAAAGGGAGGGCAACAATGGAAAACAGAGAATACATAAACGGGGGAAAGGGGTAAATGAGGGAAGTGGGGCCCAAACAAGACAAAATGTGCCAAGGCCAGGGAAAAAAAGGCAAAACCAAGGGGCAGCATGGGGCAAACCCAGCCAGTTGTGGGGGCTGGGACAAGAGGGGGGGAAACAGGCCAAAAGGGACAGAAACAGGAAAAATGGGGGGAAAAAACAGGAAGACAGTGGGACCCTGGCAGTGCTGGTTGGATTGGTGATTTCAAAGGCCTTTTCCAACCTGAACTATGCCATGGTTCTGTGCTATGGCAGCAGAAGCTGCAGTTAAAAGATCCTAGTATGAGCCCAAATGTTCCCAGTATGAACCCCAAGCCTCCCAGTGCACTCCCAGTTCTCCCATTATGCACCTTAAGGCGCTCAGTTTGGAATCAGTACACTCCCAGTGTGGCCCCCAAGGCACCCAGTGTTCCCAGTACAGGTGCTGAGGCTCCTGGTATCGGGCCCCAAGGCTCCAAGTGCAGCTACAGTGCACTCCCAGTAGAGGCCCCAAGGCTCCCAGTGCCTCCAGTATAGCTCCTAAGGCTTCCAGTGTGGCCCTCAAACCTCCCAGGGCATTCCCAGTATGGCCTTCAATTCTCTTCAAGTGTACTCCCAGTGCTCCCAGTCTGGGCCCAAGTGCCCCCAGCACACATCACCAATGAATGATTTTCCCTCCATCCCATCCCATCCTGGTGTCTCTTTGGGCTGAGCTCCCAGACCGTCAGAATCCTTCAAAAAATACCAGCACCAGCCTGCCATTGCCTTTATTGTTTGGTGCATTGGGTCACAGGATCAGGCCCCCCCCAGTGAACTCCATCCGCTGCCAAGGGAAGAGAGAGAAAGGGGGTGAGTGAGGGGACCTTGCCGAGGGGACCTTGTCTGGGGGGAACCCCAGCATCTGGAAGGGTGGGGCAGGGGGATCTCTGTGTCTGGGCACACCTGTGGGGGGGTGACGAAGGCCAGCCAATCGGAGGGGCGGGTGGGCAGCAGACCCATGGCCTGGCACTTGTAGAGGGCCAACGCCAGCCCCAGCCCATTGCCCACCAGGAACACCAGCCCCTGCAGAGCCCGCCGGCTCGAGCTCTCCAGCGCCTTCAGTGCTGTGGAGGTGATAGAGAGGGATGGTGGTACCTGTCACCCACCGGCCACATACCTGGCACCATGGGAGACCAGGGGTGACGGGAGGGGAGCAGGGGAGAGCAGGGGGAGAGGCATGGGGTGGGTGGCACCAGGGCAGCTGCTGGGCTGGGGGAATGCATGGAAGGGACCAACATCAGGGTCAGTGTCACAGGGACAACTGGACAGGGACACGTGGGGGAGACTGTTGGTGTATGCACAGGAATAACTGACAGGGAGATAACTGTTTGGGGATTGTTCGGGAAACTGATGTGGGCGTGACTGTCACAGGGACAACTACTGGGGGACACATGGGGGCAAGTGACATGGGGACGACTATTGCAGGGAGACATGTCAGGGGCTGTTGTAGAGACAACTGCTGGGGGAATATGTGGGGACAACTGTTACAGTGGGAGATGCAGGGGATGCTGCAGGTGGGGGAACACCCAAGGAACCATCACCCGCACTGGGCTGTTGCATGGTGCTGTACTTACTGGCAGAGAGTGACATGAGGGCCTGCAGTGGACGCCAGCCCATCATGCAGACCATCATGGCAGGGAAGATGGAGATCGTGTTGCCAGCCATGTACATGATGAACAGGTTCATGGGAATCTGCTTCAGCGGCGCCAGTGCCACGTCCCAGCAGCGCTGCAAGGGAAGAAAGGACCCGGCCGTCCGGGATGTGGGGGAGAACCGCCCTCAGAGAGGACACAGGCACCTGGGACAGGGACCAGCCCCCATAGCGGGAACCCAGGCGTCCGAGGGTTGTTCCTCCCTTCCTTCCAGCCCGCCCTCCCCCCC